TTTTTGATAATTTATTTTAAAAATATTAAAATTTAATTCATAAATAATTATAATAAATAAAAATTAAATTAAATAAAAAAATAATAAATTTCTAAAAATTCTCTCATAAAAATAAATTCATAAAAAATTCTCATGTAAAATAATAATTTGTGTTCATATAGGAATTGATTAGTTTTTTTCTTTTGGAAATAGTTTTTAATTGAAGTAATACAAGTTAATTCATATTTGAACATTTAAAATTTATGTTATTGATTGGGTCGGGTGTAAGTTCTGACTGAATTTTTTTTTCCTGGCCCGCACCCACTCGAATTAAATCGTATTAAACTGATTTATTTTTTAAGTCAACCTGCAACTCGTAATCAAATATTTGAAATGCATGTTATTGATTCAGTTTAGTCGAATTTTGGGTAGGTTATAAAATTTTACTCACCCCTAATTACTATAATTATTGTTCCTATTATTACTACTAATTAATATCATTAATTATTATAAAAATTTCATAAAATATAATTTTATATTAATTATCACTATTATGGTCATCATTAATATCACTTTCATTATTATCATTATTATTAAATATTATCTCATTATAATTATTATTATCATTATTATATTAAAAATATAAATATATTGAGATAATTAATGTAAAAAAGAATAATATTATAGATTCTATATTATTTTACTTGTATTATTTATAATGTGTTATATAATATATAAGTTAAAAAATTATCTTGTAACTTAAATATTTATTGCATATTATAGTTATCATATAATCGATTTTTGTCGATTTTAAAATAATATTTAGTTTATAGAAGTTATATTTCACATTAATGATAAAAAAAAATTTAAATTTTTTTTGGGAGAGGTAATAGCAATTTTATCTTATTTTAACTGCCTTCCTTCTCTTTCATTTCATTAGTATCGACATAATTATCGGTACCGACATAAATACTACACTTGTACTGATTTTCTGAAGTTTAAATATTTGTTTATTTTAACAATTGTAATTTGTAACTAAACCTTTTATGAGTTGCATGGTTTTGCAACATGGATTACTTTGACAAGTGAAACAAGTAACTTTTTTTACATTAGAATTATATTATTTATATAACGTAAGCATAAAGTACATAAAGAGAAAATTTTAAATTAAAGAAAAAGTAGAATAAAAAGTAGAAGTACGAAAAACTTTTGGAAATTTATTGCAAACAAAAAATTACTTTTTCTCTTCCATTTTCTCTTTATTAATTAATATATAAAAACATGTTAACCAATGTTCTAATAACACTAATTAAATAACTAAAAGTGAGTTTTTTTATTGGAAAGAGCAATAATACATTTTACTATAATTTTCAATACAATTATATTTTTTTTACTTATTGATTCTTTATATTACTGGTCAGCAAAACTTTTAATTAAAAAAATATCATAATTAATGTTACTTTTTTTAGTTTTCTTTCACCTAAAAACATCTTATCTCTATCGATTTTATTTATAAGACTCAAATTGAAAATGATATTAATTTTGTTTTATAAGAACTAATTCAAAATGTATCTTTTATTAATTAATATATTTACAAGAAATACTTTAATTAAAGTTATTTATTTTGATTTTATAAATAATTAGAGTAAGTCTCTCAATATAATTTTATAAAAAAATATAACTTTAAAGGAAATTTAATATTATCAAATAAATTAATCATCTTCTTTAATAATGACGAATTGGATAATTGAGTTTTTTTTTTTTTTTGTCTCCATGGTATCAATCATTTTATCACCTCTCTTTCTCTCCCTCCTTTTTGTTATGGACTAAGCTTAAGTTCAATTAAAATATTATCTAATTTAATAAATCCAAACACTTTTAAGAAATTTTGACCACAGTCAAAATTAAGAGCAAAGTTATTAAAAATATTATTATTTTTAATTTTAATTATAAGTAATAAATTAACTTTTTTTCCTTATCCTAATTATAAGTAATAGTTATTATCTTTTAAAACTATTCAGGGTTAAATTTTTATATACCATTTACTTATTGTTAAATCTATTTTCTATTTATTTATTTATAGTTAATTATATTAAATATGACAATCACTTAAATAAATGATATATTTATAATAAAATTTGAATTATAGTATAATTAATGAAAATAATTATATTAATTATCTTTCTTAATGTTAAAGATTTATCTTTTGTTACTTATAATTAAAATTAAGATGAAAGTTGTCATTAAATTAAAATATAATCGTACAAAAACTCATACATATTGAGTTAGATAGAGATGTCAATGTAGCTGTGAAAAGTATGCATTTATTACTTACTTGTCACTTTTATGAAATTATTATTGATTTGTATACTAGAATGCTATTTCTAAGTACCCACATGTTGTTCATAAAATTAGCCTAACAAAAATTAAAGTATTCGGGTGATTAGTCAAGTCAACAATCAGTTCAAGCCTCACAACAATTTAGTTAATATTCATCACCCCATCCACTTCGAGCATGACATTTTTTATTGTATATATTTTATTATGCTATATAAATAGCATGTTTGAATTTGTGGTTGACACCCATACATGCATTAAATTGATGCAACCGAGAGATAGTTATGTGTCTTCTACGTGATTTGAGTACCATATTATAGTGTGTTTTGGATGATCTGTGATTTGACGTGAAAACTTGACCCTTCAAATCCAGATATGCTAAAAGAAATTGCAAGATTAAAATTTCACCTTTTATTTTTAATATATTCTGAATTAAGTAGCTACCGTTGCAGTTTACACAATGGTTACGTAGTTTTTATTCGCAATACATGATTATCATATAGTAGAGGTGGAAGGTTGGTAATCCGTGCAAGGCAGGTAAATCTAGAAATTGGAATCTTGGTATCATAAATGTGTACAACAAAATAACTTAATATTCCTGCAAAAATTTGGACAATCATATTTGGAGATTTGCACGTCTTTCTCTTTTTTTCATCCATTACTAAATTGATCTGCAATAAAAATAAATAAATAAAATTGATCTGCAACACATTTATTGTTGCAGCCATACCCAAGAAGTGGTATGGATACACCTATACTAGTACACAAGTTCTGTATCTATGATTGCAACTATAATAATATTGTGATTTTAAAAGTTTCTATATATAACCACAATTGCATCGATGATATTTATCCATAATCTTGGTGAATGGTGATCAACACGCAACTATTAGTGTATTACCATTAATTGCAATTCAAATCTATGCTATTAATATTTATCCTTTCATAAGACACACAATGCAGAAAGTAAGCACAAAAAAATGCACATTAATAGGTACAAGATTTGCCAAGCTGTGTTAAGAAATGAAGGGGGAGAAAACGACTTAACACAATGAGGTACCCACGAGGGACACAATAAAATTTGTAACTCACTAATTTTCCCATTTCATTTCATCATGTTGAAAATTCACTATAATTGAGGCATCATGCATGTTAAAACAAACGAAATTTCTAAAGTGTTGACAAGTAAAGAAAGTGTATATCCATCCATCCTAGTATAGTGCAGCAGAATCACCTTGTTTCTCCTCTACCCTGGAGAAGCGAATGAGATGAATTAGCAAAGGAAAGAAAACTAGTATCCATGTCCCTATTTCCAAAATTGGAGCTTGAGCTCATCTTATCAAAGGAAGAAGAAGCAAGTGAGTGCAAAAACTCATCAAACCCCTCTTGGTGACTCAGATCTCCACCAGGCTTTCTCAAGTCCTCTGGCACCTCAACTTCCCCATCCAAATACCTCACCACTTGCCTCATGCTAGGCCTAGCAGCAGGTACATCATTTGAACACAACAACCCCAATTTCAACACCACCAACACTTCCTTTTCATCAAAATGGCCATTTAGTTTGGGGTCCACAACATCAAGTATTCTCCCCCCCTTGTACTTCTCCCACACCCAATCCACCAAAACTAACTCTTCTGGCAATGCCTTAGGCTCAATTGGCCTACGCCCACAAGCCACCTCAAGCAAAAGTGCCCCAAATGCAAATACATCAGAGCTAGTAGTTGCTTTTCCTGTCCTAGGCAACTCAGGTGCCAAATAGCCTAATGTACCCACCACTCTTGTGGTGCTGGGGTTGGCTCCATGTTCATACAACCTTGCCAAACCAAAATCACCTAGTCTTCCATTAAGCTCAAAATCTAGCAGCACATTGCTGGCCTTCACATCTCTATGTATCACCACCTGCTCATACCCTTCATGAAGATACAAAAGAGCTGAAGCAACACCCTTTATGATCTTGAACCTCTGCTCCCAACTTAACACAATCTTTGGCTCATCAAACAAGTACTTGTCCAAGCTCCCATTGGCCATGAAATCATACACAAGCAGGAGGTCACCCCGCCGGCGACACCAGCCAAGTAATTGAACCAAATTCCGGTGGCGAAGTCTCCCTATGCTAGCTATTTCCGACACGAATTCCCTCAGGCCTTGCTTGGATTCATGTGAAACACGCTTGACGGCTACTTGGATCTTGGAATTTGGCAATGTTCCTTTGTAAACTCTGCCAAAACCACCCTGCCCAAGTAGCTCTTTGTCCTTGAAACCCCTAGTGGCCTTCTTGAGCTCTTGGTAGGAGTACCTATGTGGCCCAACCTCAAGCTCCCATGCTTCTATCACATCAGCGTTCTTCATTTTTCTGTGCAAGTAAACGCCAAATGATATAGCTAACAACACAATAACAACAACTGAGACAGAAACCCCAATTATAAGAGACGTGTGTTTCTTCTTTGGCTGTGGAAGCTGTGGGAGAGAAGAGAGATCAAGGGGTGGTGCTGGTCCATTGATTTTAAAGCTCCAACCCAAAATGTAATGAGAGCTAGCAAGCAAACCCGTTGATGCAGAGAACCCAACATACATAGTATCATGAAGAAAGGGTGAGAGATCCACATTAAAGGACAGAATTGGCTTATCGGGTTTGGATGAAGTTGCAGAAAGTGAAACATTGACAAGATTGAACACAGAATCATAATCAACCCAAGCTAGAATGGGTTTCCCACCTTTGAGATTGAGACCAACTAGACTAACATTAGCAGATTCATTGGACTGCATGCTATTGATATCTATTCCAACATGGTTATCATTAATGTCCCCAAACTCAAAGTCTTGCACAGTGTCAAACTCAACAGCAAAGATGTGGTTAGAGAAGTTACCATTATCTGTGGCATTGAGAAGTCCCAGGTACTGGCTAGGTAGGGCCTTGAGATCTTTGGAAGTTGCTATTGCGAAAGCCAAACCATGGCCACCTAGCTTGGGGTACTCAGGGACAATAGCAAGGGCAAAAGAGGAAGAAAAGGAGAAAACTTTACCAGTGGTGGAGTTCTTGAACTGAAAAGGAGATGGGTAGAAAGCATGACCCAATAACCTACTGGTCTCATTTGTCAACCTGAGGATTCCATTTTTCTCTATCTCAGCCACACCATTCAAGGTTAGGTTGCTAGCACCCACATCCTTGAATCCAGCATAGAGAAGCTGATCAACCTGGGATGAAACTGGGATCAAAAGGAACACCAAAAAAGACAAGATTTTTAAAAGGGTGGCCATGGGGTGAAGACACAGAAATCAGATATACAAGAAGGGTTTTTTGAGATATTAAAAAGTTGATGAAGGCTTAGAGTAAAATGAGATATGAACGACAAGCATAATAGGAAAGGTGGTGAGCAGATAGATCTTGGAGAGAGCAAAGAGAAGTGATATGAAAAAAGCACACAATTAATGGTTCACATGAGCCTAGCAGTTATAGATGAGGGAGTGAAAGTGAAACAGCATGCAAGATTGCAAGAGTTTCAAAAGTCTACCCTTCCAATAAAGCTACAAAAATGCACATGAAACATTATGAGACAGCGCAGGGGAACATCTCTCCTGAACTGAAAGGGAAACTAGTTGGGAGTGACGTTACCATTTTTGAGGCTTTGCACTTCGGAAAATGGTCAACCTACCCGCAATTTTTGTGGTGCAAGAGGGAGAAAAGAAAAGAAAATGACATGTGAAATCAACAAAAATATAATATGAGAAAATAAGTATATTATAATAATGTCACTAGTAATTAAAAATTCAAAAAGTTTTTTTTTTAATTTAGCTAATTTCGTAGAAACTCTATCTAGAAAGAAGACTTGGCAAAAATATAAGATGGGTAGGGAAATTGGGCACCACTGAATTTGGATGCTACTTCTAATTTTAACTTGTATATTTCGTACTGTCATTTTCCGTGGCAAGGAGCGAAAGATTCCAATGAACGCTGACTTGGCAGCTTCTTGTATTTCCCATTCTCTAATTCCTACTGTCATCTTTTATGACAACAATCGAGATTATTGCATTGTCCCAAGATAGAGATGGGGAAAAAAATTGATTGGCTTTATTATTTAAGGAAAAATTAGAAAGTGAGAATTTTTTTCTTAAAAACTATATTTAGCTTCTTTAAAAAATTCTCATAATTTTAAATAATTTTATTTTTCTTTTTTCTTTAGAATTTTCTCTTTAAACAAATGCTGGATGCATGATTCATTTTGGGTCACTGTAGTATTACATTATTTTTACAAGTGCAGCTAAGAACAAGGAGAAAATAACAAATATCTCCTAACAGTAATAGTTTGTATAGTTATTAGAAATTAAGAGTAATTATTGAAGGTAAATAGAAAAGAGGAAAGTGAACAACAAATGAAATAATTTTCTTTATTATTGGTATAGATATAATTTTATATTATTTTATAATTTTTAGTTGCAAAGTCATAAATTGGTGAAAAATTATAAATTAATAAAAAACTATATATTTTTTTTAAAACGGTTATATATTGAAATGAAATATATACATATATATATATATATATATATATATATATATATGAAAATTACAAAGTCATAAAACATTATGATACTGCAATATCATTTGAAGTCAATTTCACGTTTATAATGAAGATGAAACACTTGTTCCATGGTTAATTGGTAATGCATGGTGAGACGTGAAAACAAGATTTTTATCATTGGCACGAATGCACTGTGTGTGTGTTTTTGACATATAAAAAAATATATTATTAACATTGATATATAAAAAAATATGGATGGGAATCTAAATTTACGGTTTGAACGGGTTATTTGCTTTTTGATTATCGAGATTCTTCTAAACTTCCTCTAGTGGTGTAGTGTCACATATGTCCTGCGTCAAATCTTATCGTGCTAATCTAAAAAAAGATGAAAAAGGTCCCAACTATCTTCAACCATCGTAATGCTAATGGTAAAGATTAAAGGTATTTTTCTCATATTAAATATGTTTAAAATCAATTTTATTATATCCAAAATGACACAAAATCATATTTGTAATATACTAAGTTATTAGTAGAACTAATTTTAAGATATAAAATTAACATTTAGTTTGGAAATAACTATTAGTAGATCTTTTATCAAATAAAATTAATTTTAAAATTTTATCAACCCAAATTCATAATTATATACTCAAAGTCAATTTTGATAAGTTTCTCAACAATATTCAATGAAAAAATAAACTTCATATGCATGATTATCTAGACAAAAATCACATTATTTTTAATTCATATTTACTTAAAATTAAGTATATAAATTTATATTAACCTAAAATTAATTATATCAACGCATATTTGAATACTTAATAAAACACATTGGTTACACCAAATAGTACTAGTCCATGTTATATTCTTTAATTACTCCTTTTTTGGGCCAAGGGGAACAAATGACTTGTGTTATATATGGACCAAAATGATTTCAATACACGCATTGATTCGATTGGTGGGTTTCTAAGGAATGATTACAATACAATATATTCATCAAATAATAGTATATGTTATATAATAGAATATGAGCCACATTCTGAAAAAGGTTTCTTGATATTGCGGGGTGGGTGGCGGTGGGTAAGGAAATCATAAATAACAAAATAAAAAGTTCTCTCCAAGTCATCCACACATCTCTAATCTCTTTCTCTGCCTGCTCTAGTCTAAGCTTTGAAAGACGACTCAACATACGAGCATAGTACTCCAAATTCCAAACCCATTTGCCAACTACGCATTAGAGAAATATCAAATTTAATCTAGTTTCTAGGAATGCGAATATGGGGACAAAACTTTGGGTTCTATGCCTCCAGAATCAAGATTATTTTAATCCATAAACAGCTCATGCTTTTAAGAATGATGTAGCTGGAGTTGTTTAAGAGAAAGTAACCAAAAGTATCTTTAGTAAAAGTAAAGTAACTATTGTATATTAAATGGTTAGAGTATATATATATATATGAGGTTGATCAGCATGTATAAGTTCGAGTTTGAGCTTAATTAAAGAGAAATTAAATGTGCGTTTCTGTTAAAAATATAAGGGGTATTTTAATTTATAAGAAAAACGAAATTAAAGTAACAAAAATATACTATTATGGAAATGGAACGAGGGTTGTTTAGAGAAGCTTTGGAAAAGCTCCTTTCATTGGATTTTTATACAATACTTATTTTAATAATTTCTTAAATTTTTAGTTTTTTTTTTTAAATTAGAGTGTTTGACCTATAAAGTTGTTAAATGAGTTTATTTGACCCAATCAAATATGATATGTAAGGCTATCAAAAAAGGTATGGTGAACTGAGTTAAACTCCAAAATAGAAACTTGAAAATAACTAATTTAACTCGGTCCGATGAACTAAACAAGCCAAGACAAATCCATAATCTAAGCTTTTAAAAATTTTGAATATTGCTAAAATATTGGCTGAGTTTTAATATAAGATACTTAACTAGTTAAACTAAAATATTATTTAGTTCATAGTTAATAGAGTAAAATAGACTAATTAAAATTAGTATAGGCTAAGTTTCATTATCACGTATTTGGTAAGTTATCTTGTATGTGCCTAAACTAATTAAAAACAAATATTATTTATAAATATACTCTCTCTCTCTCTCTCTCTCTCTCTCTCTCTCTCTCTCTCTCTCTCTCTCTCTCTCTCTCTCTCTCTCTCTCTCTCTCTCTCTCTCTCTCT